AAATAAAAGACGGCATTCTGAAACAGTACGATCTGTCAAGACTTTAGATCAACTTCAAGAAGCACTGACAGAAATGAACTATAAACTTTCATGCTCTGCCACATACCTTAGACTTGTTCTAAAGTGACATAATACTGAAGAAAGAAAGTGTCATGTTAAAACTGTGCCGGTAAAGCTTCTAAGGGCACAAAATATAGCAAGAAGAATGCATGAAAATACCTGATTCTGCGCTACTTTGATAAGAAATATAAAAGAAATGGTATTACTATTAGGTTTAAAAAATGTTTTGGTAGTATCTCAAGATGACAAAGCATGAATATCTCTCAGTTTAGCTACAGCCAATAAACAAGGTTTTAATAGGTTTTACAAAATTAATTTATTGATTTCATAACCTTAGACATCAAATTAAAAAAAAAAAGCTGGGTCTGTTTTAGAATTTTAATGTTATGAAAACTAAAGTTGGGGTCCTTTGAATATTCATCACAGCTATTTAATGAATATTCACAAATAATAAAGAATATATATATATTTTTTACATGGTTATTCATAGAGAATTCATGGATATTCACAGAATTTGCAGATATTCATAGAATTTTTTGAATATTCAGAGAATTCGCAAGTATTCATAGAGTATTTATAGAGAATTCACGGATATATTCATAGATAATTCACGAATTTTCAGATAATCTCACGTGATTACAGTTCACATATTTCCAACTCTAATGAAAACTAATAAATTAATTTTATATAAAATTATATTAAAATACAAAAAAAAATAAAATTTTACTAATAATAAATAATTTACTTATATAGCACCAATTCTTATGAGATTAGAATACCAGGTGAAGCTTCCAGATCATGACTGGATTGTTGCCAAAAAGCATAAACTGATTCCTTCAGTTTATGCAATATTGGATGTGAAGGAAGGTAAGTATAGACATGCTGAAGCAGTAACTTATTCAGATTCAATATTTATAAGGATCCATAGTGGTAAACATGATAGTAGTACTGTCTACTCTCATAACAAAGATTTTGATAACTTGATAGTTAAAGAGAAATTGTACAACTATACTACAACAGACGACCTGCCTAAACCCGTAGTAGTAATGATAAGTAATGGTAGACCCGATGAGAATCTACGCTATAAAAAACAATTCTGATGATAATAGAATACTTTACTAAGTATGAACTTGATACCATTATTGTAACATGCTTCACACTATACTAGAGTATATCCAATCCGGTTGAAAAACAAATAGCACCTCTAAGTCATGACTTAGCTGGTATAATGCTTCCACATAATACCTTCAGATTATATTTGGATGCATAGTTGAAAACAAATGATAAAGAATTAGAAAAAAGTAATTTTAAAGTAGCCAGCGATGTTTTGATATCAGTATAGGAAGATACAATTATTGATGGATATCTGGTTCTTGCTAAGTATGTAGATCCTTCTGAAGAATTCTACTACCCTGATGAAAAATTAGTAGCTTGAATAGAAAAACATATAATGACTTACCATTATATGACTCAAGTCACAAAGTGTAATGATTCAAGCTATTATAGATCTTTTCGTAACAGATTCTTCTAAATCGTTTTTTCTCACCACCACTTATGATCCAGCAGAAGACTCATGGTATTTGCGCAGCAAGCATAAGTATATCTGATAATACAATTTACTTTGGCAGCTTTCTTCTCTCTGCGTTAATGAAAGGGAAGTTAATTTCTTCAAATACGAATCTACAGTATCTCTCTTTTGACTGGTATTGCCTAACTATCAATAAATCAATTAATGAATATCCCAGTTCTTATTGTAATTGGTACTTTGCTTTAAAGGAGACTTTGAAATATCATACTTGAGAATGTCTATGTAAGCAATCCAAATTACTTACAGAACTTGCTACAGATACTCAAGACTTCTAAATGAATAATATATCGGTTCATAGTCATCAGCGCGGTGAATTCTTAGTTAGTAATGATAACTATGAGACAATATGGGTAGATGAAGAAATAATACCAAAAGACGTATCAGAAACCTATTATCAGCAAGTACAGATTCAAAAA